CAATCGAGCGCCGAACCCGCCGCACGCACGCTCAGCTCCGCCTCCAAACCGTCCCCCGCCCCTCCTCTCCCCTCTGCCCAGCCTCGCTTCCCTCTCCCATTGTCTGCCCTTCGAGGTGAGGCGCGCAGGCGCGGAGCACCCCCCCCCCTTGGAAGGCACGTGGAGCTGCGCGCGCAGCCAGAGGGCGCAGCGCCCCCTAGGGGAGAGAACTGCGCATGCTCCCTGCACATGCTCCCTGCCTTCAGCCCATGTTCCCACCCTGCTGCCCTCTGCTGCCACCTGGTGCCTGGGCTGTGGGTAGGACTCCCAGGCCATGGGGACCCGTGAGGGAGCCAGGTGGTGGAGCCTGCAAGCATGTGGCTGCTTGGCATGCTGGGAAAGGGCAACCACCTCCCGGGTGTTTGAGCATGTGCCCCACATTTTTACTCACCTTGGGGTGGAAGGTGCAGTCCCCAAGGTCCAACTATTGCAGGTGTCACAAGCACTGATTGCGCTGGAAAGTCATTCTCACTCCCCTCCGTCCAGTGGGGACAGCAATAGTCCCCAGAGGAGCCGAGGTGTCTTGAGATCAGACAGCGGCTGCCATGTTGTCCACTGCAGATCCTACACAGCAAGGTGTGGTCTGGTCTTGGAAGGGCACTGCTAGGCGAAGCTGGCCAGGCCAGGTTGGCGGTGTGCTGCTGCTGTTGTTTGCTAGCTGGGGTTTGGCTGAACGTCTCCTGGTCGACTGCAAGAAGAGCAGAGCCGGACTGGGAAGCGCCGCTCTGCCAGGGAATGGCACGAGGCAAGGCCAGAGTGTTGGTGCGGCAGTTCTCTGGCACAAACCTGCTGGTTTGCTTCTTTATTTGCAGGAGGTCCTGGCTAGGTGTCCTTTGAAAGCTAAGGCATGACCCAATGCAATGCCTCGGTACATAGATTTTAAGGCACGCCTAACCTTTTGGAAGACATTAACCTGTTTTTGTATGTAAGGTTTAGATGGAAGGAGTTGGAAACCAGTCTTTTTGGGGCTGGGTTTAAGGACTCTGAAACAGGACCATCCATCGTAGAGGGTTTTATCTTGATGACTGAAATTCTGGCTTCTGGGTTGCCAGACAGAAGTTACGTCCTTAAATGAAACACCTAGTAGTGGTGCTGGAAAGGTCATTCATGAAGGTATTCAAAAGCATTGGGGTAGAACTGAGACTGGAAGGTTGTCCAGAAGCCTTTTTTTTTTTTTTGC